AGTTAATGAGGTATAACCGATCTATTATGAGAAGTGAATATTTTTTTATCAACAATACGACGTATACAGTGTAGGTATGTGTTATGACGCGTGGTGTCCGAGACTGATAATGATATACAAAATTCCTGTGCCAAAGTTCCCGACTAGATTCTCAGCCAGAAGAATTGCAGTGGAGATAGTTTACTAGGATTAACCGATATATATATATATATATATACTAATTTCAGTGGTTAAGATCATGAGTCAGTTGAAGCTAGACCACCATGGAAAACCTGGAAGCACTGTTGTGAGATAGTCACTCACTGAAGACAATGGTGGATGTGTCGCTCAGTTTCGTGGATTAGTTGAAGTTAGACATTAACACCATTGGGTGCCGGCTCAGCGGTCTAGTGGTTAAGTGATCGCGCGCGAAACCAGTAGGTCCTGGGTTCGTATCTCTCAAGGGGCGAGGTCGTGGATGCGCACTTCTGAGGAGTCCCACAGTAGGACGAAACGGCCGTCCGGTGCTTCCAGGTTTTCCGTGGTGGTCTAGCTTCAGTTGACTAATGATCTTAACCATTGAAATTACTATAATATCCACAAAACCCATCTGATATATATATATACCTTAGAAAATAAACCTATTTCTTGGTTAATAACATGCAGTTGCCATTAAAAGATTTTTGATTGTCAATTTTTGGTTTCTGTTTTATTCACTTTCGATTGACTCAGTGATTATATTATTCATTAACAATATAATCATCTAACTTATTCAGATGAATAATCTTCAAATACCAAGGTCTTGCAAAGTCAGATCTCTACATAAATAAATACAAGTATCATAGTAAATTTCAAGAATTTTGATGTCTTTAAAAAATCATTCAAATAACAAATTGCTGATAAAATTTGGAATCGCACTCCAAAATTAGTTGTAAGAACATTCTAGTTGTAAAACAAAAAAAATATTTTAGCGAGCAATAGTTTATGATGACTTCTTGAGACACTTCACTCACAAATCCATGACTAATATGATAAAACCATAGAATATTTTTGAGTCAGAATACTAACATATAAACAACGAATGTACTTTTAAGTTATTGTGCACAAATATCCAAAATGCTACTGGAATATTCTCAAAAAAACTATATTTATCCAAACTTAAAATCTTTTAAACGCCATGTACAAAATGTTAACGATTCTATTTGTTCACGCATCCCGTTAACAGAATCCAATATTTCGCCAAGACCTCCTGTGCTATATGAGTTATCACCCGACGAACACTATCCTTCCACCGAATATGTTATCAGAGTTACGGCAAAAACACGAAATTATCGAAGCACAACATAAATTTCCGAACAACCGTGAGAGATATGTGTTTAATCATTCTTCAGTATCCTTAACAAATGTACAATTAAAAGCCTCATCTCTACAAACAAAATTCTTTGACAAATTAAAAAACTAATAAAATTCACACACATGTTCAATTTGAGAATTTAATCAAACAAACAAATGATATTAGTACATTATCTGATCAAGAATCCCAACATTTCCAATCTACTGTTCTCGATAGCTGCAACCAGTATATTAGTATAAAAGTAACAGGTAAAATTCTTCGAGCGAAAGAACATAGAAACCAACCAAAACTACTTAGAAACAATAAAGACTTTTTATAATACGTCCAGATAAATGTGCATGAACTTCCATTTTAAGGTTGGTAGAGCTACAAACGTCTTAAAGAGGAGAATTCCCGAGTCTTTAAAAAGCACTTTCTTTGCAGCAACGTTGCGAGTAGTATTCTCCAGCTGATTATTGTTTATCAGTAATTTTAGGGATTAATTATCTCATCTGACCAACACAATATGCATTTACCAATTTTTATGCTTATGTGGAGCCAGATATATAGGTCGTTCGGTGCGTACTTTATCCGAATGAATTCAAGGACATTACCCGGCATGACCAAAATGCGGCGGAAACCGTTCAATAGGAAGTTCAATAATCGAACCCCTTGTTAACACAGGTCATCCAGTCAAGACGAACTCTGAGTTCAAAGTCATCTACAAGGTAAGTTGAAGTCTGCCGATGGCAGTTATATTGCATCTTGTTAACTTTACCGAAGTGATACGCATACATTTGGGAAAATCAGAATTTTGTGTGCAAAAGTGGTCGGCACAACCTCTTCTTCCACCATGGTCTTAATGTCTCATCATTTCTTCCTTCATACTCTTCATCCTTTACAGTCATCTGATTCCCTTCCATCTTTTCCTCAAACCTTTTATGTCCAACTGGTTTATTTCTGTTTCTACGATCCTCCTGATTACATTTTATCTTATCATGCTGAGCCGTCCTTTCCCAATGATAATTTCCCTAACTATCTTTATGATGAATATTTAAACTCTCAACAACCAAACTATTATTAGTTTCCTTGATTAAAAAAATTCTTTTAATAACTTTCTTTATTCTACCTCTCTGTTAATATGTCTAACATAAGTTTACTATTATTATAATTGCATTTTCAGAAGGAATTTTGTGGAAATTTTAGTAATTTCAATAGTTAAAATCATGAGTCAATTGAAGCTAGACCACCATGGAAAATCTGGATGCACTGGATGGCCGTTCCGTTTTTATGCCGGCTCAGTGGTCCAATGGTTAAGCGCTCACGCGCGAGACTGATAGGTCCCGCGTCCGAATCTCGTGGTGGAAGATGGGATCGTAGATGCGCACTGCTGGGGAGTCCCAACTAGGACGAAACAGCCGTTCAGTGCTTCCAGGTTTTCCATGGTGGTCTAGTTTCAAATGACTCATGATTTCAACTATTGAAATAATTGCATTCATTGTAGTTATTACCATCCTGAAAAATAAGTATATATATATGCGATAACTCATCACTGAACCGATGTTTTTTATTTAGTGTCTCAATGGGTGTATTCCGTTTACTAATTCTTATTTCCGAATGTTTGTTAATGTTATACTATTTATCATTATCGCTATTTTTCTTCATTGCCATCAGTATGTACTTTCTAATTATCATATTCAATTATGTAATCTATTTTCTTGTTACCAGTAATTTATACATTTTATTAATTGGTCTAATATTATTCGAATATCACTTATCGCACGATCAGTTTTGTATTTTTTGTTTTGTAAAATTTTTTTCATTTTATTTTGTCTAATGGAACAATTTCCACAACCCCACACTAAAATGATTAGTTTCAAAATGGTAAATATTAGTGACTGGTTTTGAAAACTGATATAAAATGTAAATATTCTTCGACTGGTCAACTTTTCTCTAAACTATGAACGTTAATAACTTACAACGCACTAGATGTATTATTCTGAATGTTGTCACGAGCACAGATAATGTGTTCTTGAGTACGTTGTATCTGGTAGCGTTCCAATCGTGACAATGTATCTTAACATATGGGCACACATTTTCAAAAAACAAGTTAACCAATCGCTTATTTTTTTAATTTGTTTAATCACATCTAAAAAAATTCTCATCACTAGGGTTCAGAAATCACAATAAACGTTTAGTATATGTTAGTCATATTTTTATATATATATATATATAACTATTGCAAATACCTATATGTATTTATTTGAAAACGATGCCGTACAAAGATTTCATTAACTTATCTTTCATTAATAAAATAGATGCTGTCCTCTGTTTACAATGATACTAATAGCAATAATAACAGTAATTATTAATGTCATGTTAAGATGAATTTATAATTAAAAATAAGAATTTGTCATGCAAGGGAGTTAGTACAAATCTCAATGAAAGAATAGGGGAAAGAAACTTTATGATTTCTTTTGATAAAATCTGATTAAAAATAGGACATTCCCTCTGAAAACCAAGCCTAACAACAAGACCGATATATCTTATATGCGGACAAAAGTGGTTTTCTTGAGTTATTGCTAATTCCTTTCTGCTATGTAGAAGAGACTTAATCTTTTACGTTTAAGCATCGTACATCGGACTTTATATAGAACTCGTAGGAAATCTTCAATCTTTGTGCTGTGTTTATTATCAGTAAAGTGAAAGAGAATGACACTGCTTACAGACATAGTGATTCCTTCTCCTTATTATACTGGTACATGTTAACGATCTGCTAACGACAGAGCCCTTTGGATACAACTGATATAACTAACCTCACAGGCACTTCCAAACTGATGAGCAAACTCAACTAGATGCATCATTGATATTATAGTCTTGTTTTATTAGACTAGGATTTCGTTAGTTTAAAAAATGACCTGATTAACATTTTACTCGATCTATTGATCTATAGATTTATTAGATTATCAATGGCATAACCATCATTGAAACAAAGTCATAATTAGAAAGCTCCCTTTTCAATTGTATCAATTCACACCATGTATAAATGTTAAAAACATCAAATTTATCTACTATGAAAGTTTTTAAAACATGCATTAAATAGATACAATAAAATTCATTAATAACAAATGAATGAGAGCTAATTTTCTTTTTCAATTGTATATCCAATTAAAAGAAATGTATTGTTGGGGAAATTATCTAAAATCTAACATTTATATAAGTAGTATACAATTATTATGTGAAAAAGAGAAAGGATTCATTAATTTACAGATTTTCTTTTATTTCAAAAAATTAGAAAATTTAACTTTTATTATTTTTAATTGATATTTGTATAATCGTTTTGTTTGTGAATTAAAACAAAAGAAGAATATGTTTATTATATTGAATATTAACAGTAAAGAATATAATGTTTATGTATTACAAAGTAATTATCATTTTATTCTATAACAATCGAAAACTTCCTAACTAATTCTCATGTTTCCTAAATCTATTATTATTTAAACTATTCACCATAGCAACTATTTTATTTGATTCTTCGTCAGCTAATATAAAGTTTATAAAACAAAGAATAAAATCATAATTTTACTGACCAAACTTTGATTCATCTCTAGAAATGATGAATTATCCGAAAATACTACTGTCTATGAATATAATATTAATCATGATCAAAAGTATGATTTGCAAATTGATGAATAATTTCATGGAAATAAAAGTCTTTATTCAGGGTTTATCCACAGATCATCTTGACGTATTAGCTAATCAAAAAAATGTTTGCCCATTTAAAAGGTAAATCAATAAATCATTTTGATATCATTTATGCTTAGTAATCCGTGAATTTTATTATATTTTTCATAGTTTGATGTTCTTTAGATTTCAAAGATACCTTTGAAAGTATTCCAAACCTTAGATGTAATAGTCAATCGTTGTATCATATCTTTATGTATTAGAAACAATATCAATAAAATATGAATAAATTTATTTATATCGATATTGAGAATTAGAGTTTTAGTCTATTGGTAGAGATATAGAAACCGGTTTCTCTTAAACTGAAAATTGAGTGAAGATTTCTGTTCTATGAGCAATAAAAAGAAATTAATTAGTTAAACGATGTAATGCACGATTTTAAATGTAGACTTTGGTTGAACCCAGTCATTATGAATTATGTGTACTTATACGAATATGTTCGTAGTTAGTTTGACAAAACGCTACGTAACATAATATGAATTTTAAGATTTTTAAGTTCCGGACTTTGATTCTATATATTTAAATTCAATTCCTACGAATTGGCTTGATTAAATATTGTTTAAATACTTTTTTTTCGAAAATTTACTGTTTTCTAGAAAATAAAATTTAAATAAAAATTCGAAATTCTTCTTTATAAGTAATTGGTAGTCACTTTTCCATCAGCTGAAACTGTTTTTATGAAATAAAAACTAACCATTTGATCGGTGATGAAAGGGAAACATTTCAGAACGCATACTACTTAAATGATTGCTAATACGTTTTGCAAAATATTAAAAGCCTTATAAGCTCACACTTTAAACTGTGATGTTGAGAAAATAAGTATTTCAAAACTATTATTGTTCCATTGAGTGTTTGGAGGGAGGGGGAATAAAATTAGTAAACTTACTAATTGTGCGCTTATTAAGTATAGTATAAGTGTAGTGGACGTCACTCACATGGATGTTAATAGGTAGTGTGTAACGGAATGTGTCTTCGAGGTTGCAATGATTATCAGATGGACTGAAGAGTTTCAGTGCATATAAATATATATATATATATAAACTCTTCAGAAAACCAAATCAAATAACAAAAAGACAGGCAGTTTTGTTTTTATTTAGTTTTAAGTTAAAATTAATCACGAATGAATAACAAATGAGGTTAACGTACTAATCAAAGCGTAAGGAAGGACAGAACTTATGGGTCAGATAATAGTCCATTTGGCAGATATGAAGAAAAGCGATAAACAACAAAGGTCATAATAATAAACTGAATGGTAATAAAGAAAACTTGTATAGGGTAATAATAATCAATGATTAGACTTTAAAGTGCAAAATAGTAATTTAAAAAATATCGATAATAATTAAATAAAAGTGCAGAAAAACAACAAGGACAACAGAAAAAAGACAACAACACGGAAACATACCCATTAAGGGAATTAGGGCCAAGGAAGGATGAGAGGTTGGACAAATCGTTTCTGCGCGCAAAGTTCAGGCTTGAGTTTGTGAATTGCCAATATTTGTCGCTTTTCTTCATATCTACCAAATGGACTATTATCTGACCCATAAATTCTGTTCTTCCTTACCCCTTGATTAGTACGTTAACCTCATTTGTTCGTTATGCTCGAATCCAATTTTTTTGTGATACAATCCTTTCTATCCTTCTATAGACATATATTTTCCATATAACTATATATACGAATGTACAGCTTAAGTAAATGATTTCGTCGAAAAGAAAATTTTCTTCACTGAATTTTCTTTTTCTTATTCAATGACACTATGGGTTATTTTAAAAATCTCACATCAATCATTTGTTCACGATATTATTATCGGTAGTAAGTAGACGTTTTAGAGAAACAGTGTGTATATTAAAATTCTTTCTTTGTTTCACGATGAAATAACTTTCTTATTTTCATTTAAAAATAACATGATCAATCAATATGATAAAATGAAGATGTGAACATGGTGTATGCAATCAGAAGAAATGTGTATGCGATAACTGTTGGGTAGGCAAATTTTGCGAAGTATCAGGTTAGTGAAATCATTCAAGTTACATGTAAAGCAACTTTCGTTTACTAAGAACAGATTTCGCACTAATCAAAATATTTTCATCGTTATCTCGTTTCCTAGAAATCATAATCATCCCATTGTAATTAAAAATGATTATAATGTGATCGCGTAAAGTTTTTTGATCACTGATCCAAAATTGTTGACGAGAAAGCAATTGTGAGTGGTTTCAAGTATTGATGTTTTATGAAGTATGTAACACGATTCAAAGTAACATAAAAGACGTAAGGAAACTTCTATTATTGATTGGAGCAAAAGGTGTATATGGAATTTTTAGTTTTAATTCTGTGAGGAAATATAAACCATAAATAAACATGATGGTATAATGCAAAGATGATAATACTAGATTATATTGCGTACATTATAGTAATCAATGTTGTGTAACTACAACAGCATGTGTACAAATGAAAAGCATGTAAAATTAATAGACTAACATTAAGTTTTCGGAATTTACAATGTGTTAATAATCTTGAACAGTATGAAGTATGACTCGATCTTCATGATTGAAACTTGACACAATAATAACAAGTTAGTCCATATGTTAACCGTTTGGAGATAAAATAGAAATATTTACGAAATGTTCAGTTCAAAATAAAAGCAACATGTATTTCCTCAAGACCTATGACTTTTCATTTATATCAAATTCAAATTATATAACTATAAAATCACTATTTAGTTAGATGGATGTCGAAAGACCTTATTTCATGCTCATTAAAAGCAATAAATTCCTGTTGAATTCTGAATTATATCGACCTTTCGAAACCCTAGTTTTTGATAAACTTATGAAATGGTAAACTAAGATCATTTCTAAATCATATTTGTCGAGATAATTAATAGCCTAGAAGTGATTTGGTTTTCATGATTCACTTCTCGAAATATATTGAAGTTACGAAGAATAATCATCTAAGTTATAAGATGAAACGTTTCAGTTACGTTTCTAAAAACTTGTCTTAATTAGTTGCTAACATAACAAGTAAATAATTCTTCATTTTATAAACAGAAATGAATGAAAATATTTAAAAGTATAACCAGTAACATAGATATCAATAAACACTACGGGAAATTAGTCACAAGAAAATAATAACACAAACTGTTCATTCCAATAATATCTAAAGTTGTTTGGCTTGAACTGACTGTGTTCGAAATACTTAATATTTATTTTAAACTTGCGGCGTGTATTTAAGTTGGCGCTACAGTTAACCATTCAACTTCTGATATATCAAGACATCACATTATACTTGGTGATTGCTTCTATCCAGTTTTAGATAATATTCGTTTTACCTCAGATAGTTTTAAAATTACTGTGTCACCAAGTTCTGTCGGCATTCCAAACAAAATTATTGGACAACTTACATTTCGAAATGTACGAAGTGATCAAATAGAGGAATGTGGGCAGTTATTTTTTTTACTTGGAGGAGTCCAACATAATAACTATCCAATTTATGTAGAAAACGGTACGGGTTTCATTCGCTTTAGTCGTTTTAACAATTTTAATTGGCCAAAGCTGATACATCACAAAGTTTACATGACTGTAAAATTATATGTCAGACCAAATAAGGAAATAGATTCATCGCAAATTGTCATCTCCTGGAATTATTTTACGAAAGATCAACAAGGAAAACAGTCGAAGTCCCAAAACGATGATTCCCATCTGGAGAGGCTTAGAAGGGTGCGTACCGTTTTTGAGTAAAATTAGCCAAATTTTTTATTTTAACGGAGTTATCTTTGAAACACATTTTCAATGTCCAGTTAAACGGAAAGAACTTTGTGAATAAACTAATCTATCTTGTGGTGGATTTTAGTATCGCATTAAGGTTTAATTAATGGTCAGCAAAGTATGGGTAAAGCGTTTGAAAATGTAAAAGCCAACCCTTGCCTTAGTTCGTCCAAAATCTCACATGAATGCAAAATCCTGTATATTAAACAGTCAAACATTATTATAAACTAAAAAGTGTAGAAATTTTTCATGTATTGGTTTTCCACAACTGAGATTAAAAATTTAGTGTAAAAGCATGAAAGGAGATTTTTAGCTGTTCTCGCATACTAATTTCATTGTCGATCAAATTAATTTAGTGCTTAACATGGAGTCACTAATACGTTTGATTTGATTACCTAATCTATGGTTTGTTGAATCGTTTAGCAGTTAGATATAAAAAAATATAAACCACCTGCTAATAATCACCTTCACATACCTTAACAAACTTTATGAAATGAAGTATACTGCATTTGTCAATATTCTTCTGACTTTAGAATTATCTGTGTACAAACAACTGACTTCTTGACGTGATTGGATAGCTGAGTTGGGATGTTTATTTTCATTCCGACAGTGTGGGAAACATTGAAGTGACTTCCATGGAGGCAATTCAATACAAAACCTCTGTTGGTTTGTAAGATCCAACAAAGTAAAATATACCTAGATTACTGTTTAAAATAAGGTTAAACGCTAGAAGAAAGACACTGTAAGCCAATTACTTACATATATAATTTACAAATAATTCTATAAAACCATATATCCCTAAGACATTTAAATTTATAGAACTGAATTGTATAACGATTTTTGGGTTTACTTGCCCTCAGAAAGTTACATCAGTAAAAATTACTATTATTAACATAACAGTACTTGAAGTAAATAACACTTAAATGATATCGAAATCTAGAACCAACAATTTCCTCATATAAGAATTACTTCCCAATCCAGGATAACAGCATTTTTGAGTATATTATTAGATATCTGTGCATTACTTCTCGAAATCGATAGATAACCATAGAGAAAAATATAAAATAAATAGTTGAACTTTACTGGAGTCATACAAGAAAAAAGTATTAAGAATTATGGTAATTGATTATAATTTTCGGGATGAAATCCAATATTGAATTGGGCTCCCAAAGTAAACGATAACCACAGTCTTTTTAACAGTAACATTAATACGACAACAATATAAATAAGATGTAATGGAACGCGAATGAAATGAAATTTCAATTCAGCCGTTTACTAGCCAAAATGGAGATTTGTCTGGAAATCAAGTTATTTCAGCAGTCCTAATTCCAGATTTATAATATTCTGTAGAATCCTTCCATATAAAACCTTTATTGTAAATGTGATGCTATATTTAATTATAATATCGTGATTATTTTTCACATACATTCTAATATCAGAATTCCATCAAAACAATATTTGATGAATAATTTTAGAGTGTGAACCCTTCAAACCTACAACTTCTCGTGACGAGAAGTGATGCAGCTACCAATACATTGTGTCCGACTGAAGTAATAGCACTAAGTGTTCAGCTTGGTCTACCTGCTGGTACAACTGCAATAACAGTTGAATTGTTTGGTCCTACTAAAGATACTATAATCTACGGTTTTGTTGAATTTATTGATATTTCATATATTGGAGGAAGAGTTTCAAACAGGGATTTTTCAATTGGCGTACGAAACACGACAATAGAAACTGATTACGAATACAAAGTAAACTATATATTTTGGTATTAGTTATGTGCGCATGTATTATTAAGAAGTAAGACATTAGGTTTATTTGTTAATCTATGTCATAATGTGGATAATGTTCAGTAAAAAATACATGTGGTTTGATGAACTTCCCTATAATGAATTTCACATTAATCTTTGCTAGTAGTTTGTTTATATGAAAGGATTAAATTATATTTCATTTCTGTAATTCTAACGACAGACAGTCCGATTATTAAATGGAATCTATTATAAAAAATAAACTGAATAATTTGATCGTAAATGATGAATAACAATTTTTATGAACTGGATATCATAAGGATATAGATGTTATACATCCTTTAGTGAGAACCTTACATAATTCAAAACTAATATCATCTTACATTTCTCATCAAAAGAAAAACAAAACAAGCCTACCTTATCAAATTCAGAACTAATAAAAGATATATAGAAAGATACTCAAGATTATGTTAATAGCATTTCTAACATATATTATGAGAAATATAGACCAATAATACAGTCATATACATTATTAAAAAATTTATTAGGTAATGACTTTCAAAAAAGCATCGAATGGCCATTTTGTCCTAATATGGGACTCAGCAGAGGATATTCACAATCCTGCTTGCGTGATTCCAAACTAGGATCTTCGGTTTCGCGCGCGAGCGATTAATCTCTAGACCACTGTGCAGGAATCCAACGGTGTTAATGTTTAACTTCAAATAGTTTTGATATTGATATGCAAAGAGTTGAGGTTTGTCCATAATTTAAAAACCTCAACTAATAAGTATTGATAAAATAATCTCTTAAATTGTTCAGTAGGAAAAATATCTGCTACTTATAGTACTTAAACCTAACAACACAAGCACATGTAATCATTCATATAGATATCACATTGAATTAACGAAAGGATTTACTTTTGAACTTCTTTACTTCAGAATAAAGAATACTAACCTTTTTAAGAATAGATTCGAATGTTGCTTACTTCATAGTTAAGACATGAATTACATTCCTGGCTAAATAGAGTTACAAGCATCATCCATAATGTTGTGCGCGTTTTTAATTCATTAACACTATCTATTACATTTCATCCAGAATTTAATTTTTTTTTCAGAATACGTATACAGCTGTTGATTTATCAAGTGTCACAGTGATAGATATACCAAATGTTGTAGAGAATTATAGTTTAATATTGCGTTTTGCTGTTGGTTTGTGGAATAATAATTCAATAGTAGATGGAATGCAGTTTATTTGTAACTGTAAAGTTTCTGACGGTATTTCAGTGGTAACCAGTACAACTACAATCACATCACGTAAATTATGTACAGTTTTTCAACCAGAATTAAACATGTTATCTAATTTTCCATACATTGTACCGGGAGATATATTACTGTTTCAATCAGAAGCATATTTTACATTTGAAACCGGAAATTATACGGTAAATTCTGTTTTAAATTCCATCTTTATTTGGTTAAGAAATCCTTATATTAAAGCGTAAAGATAATATTCGAATACTTTAAAAAGTAGATGCTTAGAGTGGGAACATTGCTTCTTGTTAGTTATTTTACAGTGTGACGTAAATTCTAGTTTATAAAATATTTGTCTCTCATATTCTTAGCTTTTCAAAACCATATCTCGAATCATAGAGAAACCAGTTGTAAATAGAGTGTCTTGAATTTGCTTTTTGTAGTAGACATATATTTTTCGTGAAATAAATTTTTTTGTCTATATAGGGTTGTGATACCGCATGCAATGGATGAATTGATTGAAGTTAGACATTAACACCGATGGATTCCGGTTCAGCGGTGTACAGGTTAAGCCTTCGTGCGAGACTGAAGGTCCTGAGTTCAGTGGCGCGTGCGATATCGTGGGTTCGCACTGTTGTGAAGTCCCATACTAAGACGAAACGGCCGTACAATGACTTTAGGCTTTCACTGGTGGTCTAACATTGATTAGTTGATAATCTCAATAAAAAAACCCTTGAATATTCATATGTACGGCTTAAAAGTTGTTTTTTGATCACATTGTGTTATGCATTGATTTGTGATTTAATATTTTAAATGTCATCATTACTGTATTTCTAGGAATAGGCAACAATATTAGATGTATAGGTAGTGTGAAAGACCAGAATTGTTCAGTTTCCCTTTTTTATTTGATTGACCAAACAGTTAAAACATTAGGAGTGTCATATAAATACAGTCTGAACAGATAATGTGTGATATAATATAAAACACCAAAAATCATTTCCCCAAGAAAATTATAGATTCAGCGTTAAGTTTACTAATGCATTGTTATATATTTAGTAACAACCGATAATTAGCTAATGAGTAAGTGAAATAATGGTTATTAACTTGATTTCAATTCGGTTGTGCGAAATTAATGGTCATAAGATAAAAGTAATAAAAATTCAGGATATGTTGAGGTAAAAGCAGATTAATGACTCGTAATGTATTCTCATTTCTGTCAAATAAAGAACTAGAGGATTAGAAATAAAACCGAAAAATTTACATTCATAAACATACATATGCTATCTGTTAGGAAATCGTCTATCAATATAGATGACATATAATTATGCATTTCTGCGATTTATTCTATAGAGTGATCTGGCTTATTTAATACATCGTGACTAATAACTGGTCCCTCTAAATTATCATCTATCCATATCTGTAGTTTGATGGTATGTCAATTAAAACTGCTGGTTGTCGTGCATCTCGGTGTTGTATAAATCATATATTGTTCAAAAGATTTGTTAACTAACATACTTATAACACACGTCAACATCTCTTTGAAATGTTTAACAACAAAGTCTTACATACGGATGTGAAGTAATATAAGGTAACAGTTTTTCGGTCAGTTTTGGAAACATACCTTATTAACATGTCTCAACCGACACAAATCTAATTTTAGGATTTAATGTGGATGAACTATACGAAAACAGTTCTTGTCCAGCACAACTTTGCTAAGAGTAGATGAATTCTAATAAATACAGAAGTTACAGAACATTTAAGATTAGAAAATACTCTTATTTATTTATAAGCAGTGAGAAAAATGTGTATGGTGTTTCAAAGTCATAGCCAGTAGAATATTAAATATTATAAATAACAGTCATAAATGATAGTTAAATGATGGTTATCACTATGAGTAAAACAAGAAAAGGAAAGAAACGTATTCTACATAAGGTGGTATATTAATGAAGTAAGTACTTCAGTAATAAGAAAGACACTCCGAATTCTCGCAGAACCTTGTCATGTATCTGTTAATAAAAATTGAGTTGACTACTCACTTTGAATATTTACAGAAAAACATGTTCTCGAATAGTTTATAGATACATTCTCTTTAAATTAATATCAAAATTTAGTAATCTAAAACGGTGACAGTATAAACAGAGAATAAAAAGGTACATTCGGTTTCATTCACTAATATTTCATCTATTTTACAGTTCACAGTATATATAATCGGTTCCTCATCTACTATTAGCAACTTTGAAGTAATTCTAGGTAATGGGATGAACTATCCAGAAGGATCTGAAGTTAGGCAATCCGAAGATGATCTGACACTTACAAAGCAAATTGATGTACAAATGAAAGAACTTAAAAATAAAAGTAATACGTTTTAAAAGTTTAATAGATTGAAATTTAAAATGAGTTATATGATATTTATAATTTTCTTTGCTTTTATTTAAAGTGTGTTTTGTTACCATTAAAAAGTGGCAATTTTTCCTTGTATTATTCAATATTTATTACATACGAGTTTATTTACATGAAATCCCAGATAATGATCTATCATAAATAATAAATCATAGTACATACAAAACTAAGGCATTTACGCTATAAATAAGTTTATAATTAATTAGTAGTAATCTGTAAATTGAAAAAGATATGGCAGCATCAATGAGTCAAATGAAAGCTTGCAATTAGAAAAATATCAACTGTTTAGCCACAACATTATATAAATATGTATATGCTAAATCACTGGTGAATAACGTCCAGAATTCATTATATCTATATGCATTAGTTCGCTTAGTTCAAAACACAAATCATAGTAAAGGGTAGTTAGTTATTTTAAAATCAATAATGTTTTTAGATTGTAAACTTTCTAATGTGAATTTCAAAAATCATATTCTAATGTTCATGATACAATGAAGTTGACTATTGAAACCTACTTGGTTATCCTTAATAAAATGACAAAAGTCATATTTGTTGTAACGTGTGTGAGGCTGCAGGTTTTGATAAGCAGCGTTTATCGATCGATTACAGTGGACACGTAAACACGTAAAGGACGACCTAAATGCCTGATTGGCCCTGCTTCGCTCTCTGTCCTAGCCAGTTCAGTCAAGAACACAAGTCACAGCCTCTGAGTTATGAATCATTATATTTCAAACATACTTTGTTTATGTACCAATCAAGCATACCACATCGTACCATAGAAATAGAAAACAACATTTTGTACAATATTCAACGAGTGAACAGATATCGACCAATAGGAAATGTCCATTTAAAGTCCAAGGACACCATTGGACTTAACATCATAATTACTGGTCTATTTTTCCTCAGCATCCATAACAATATTCACCATCGAAGATGACTGGAAAACATTTCATACATATTTTAAAAAAATTATATTTATATTTTATTAAGACACATTCAAATATGATACGAAAGTTACATGATTCTGCTAGCTTACTACTTAACCTAGTGATTAATTTATCAGATAACTAATAATTTCCTCTGAATATTTTAGTAAACATAACCAAAGCGTTAAGAACATAAAAAAATTAATTCTAACAGGAGCTCAGAAATACTCTATTTGTATTGATAATAACACTTACTAGATTAATTTCCTGTGGGTATTCTTAGCTTTAAAGTAACTGAGTGAAAAAAGTGGATAATCTGATATCTTATATTAACTTACGTTATTTGATACAAACATTCTAAATAATAAAACATTTGTGGCGTTTTTCTCAAAAACTTAATAATTTAAGCTGATAAAATTCCCTAACATTATACAAATAGCCATAAAATTTATAAAATTTTCAATTAGAAGACTTCATTTTCTAGATACTTCAAAGTAATTAAACTTATTAGTACGAAATATATGATTGATATATGTTATAGGAAACTACTTACGGTTGTCTAGTAAATAAAAAAATGAAATGTTTCAAAGGTTTTGACATTTCCTTCTGAGTTTTAGACTAGGTAGTTAACTCTCGTGAATCTAAAGTAGAGTGGCTTGGATATAAGGTACGTTATCACATTTAATTATTTACACAAATGTTGTTGATTATTGTTAATAAGTAAGTAGCTTAGGTAAAGAATTGCACGTCAACCGTTAATAAACAGGTAAATATTCGAAAATAAATAAAGTACAATCAACAATTAATGAATAGGTTTTAATATTTCTAAACGTCCTAACAATTTTTGTGAATATGAAAATCACTTCAGATGATTTCTGATTGATTGAGTTTATTTTCACGATACATCAACTTTATTGACTATGAGAAATCGTTTGACAGTGTTTACAGGAAGAGCTTATGGAAATTTCTCCGACACTATGGTGTACCTGAGAAGATCGCCAATATCATACGGAATTATTACGACGGACTACAGTGCAAAGTGGTGCATGGAGGACATCTGATAGATGCATTCCAAGTAAAGACCGGAGTCAGACAAGGCTGTTTACTCTCCCCCTTCCTCTTTCTTCTGGCGGTTGACTAGTTTATTAAGACCTCGACATCTGAGGAGAAGCACAGAATAAAATGGACAGCTCAGAATCAATTAGATGATTTGGACTTCACATATGACCTAGCTCTTCTATCCCACACATAAACAAATGCGTATGAAGACGACTAGTGTAACAGCAACCTCTGAATCAGCAGGACTCAACATACACAAAGGAAAAGGTAAGATCCTCAAATGCAACACGGAGAACACCAACCCGATCACTCTTGATGGACAGCAAGGATAGCATTCTTACAGTTGAAGAGCATATGTAATTCAATTGTCAAACAACATCAAATCGAGAGTTTTCAATACGAACACGAAGACAGTGCTATTGTACAGAGCTAAAACGTGGAGAACTACCACAATCATCATCAAGAAGGTACAAGTATTTATAAAAAAACTGTATACGTAAGATCCTTTGTCGGATACCATCAGCAGCAGCCTTCTGTGGGAGAGGACAAACTAGGTTCCCGCTGAAGAGGCGTAGTGTGGTGTGTGTCACTTATATTGACATAAGTAGCATATGATGTAGGTCAGGAACAGAATGTCTGGTAGCAGAAAGACAAGAGAATCGGACAGTAAAGAATGGAAACAGAATGTAATTTGTATGAAAATACAAGAACAATGAAGTCTGGCCATTTTGGGACAATCGATGGTCATTTTGCAAATTGAGCATTTACTACATAGTCGTTAGATTTTATTAACAAGTTCTGTAATCTTGTATCAAATATATCCGATTGTCCCCACTGGTGTTCTTGTTCACTACAGTAGGAAATGGACTGAACATGCATTGTGGAAGTCATCAAACTGCATCATGAGGGAAGTAATAACTTGGAATCCTGAATGGAAATGGAAAAGAGGAAGGTCGGAGAACGCACTACGTCGGGAATCGGAAACAGACATGAAAAGGATGAATAGCAACTGGAAAGTATTGTCCAGGATAAAGAGCAATGGAGAGTGCTGGTGGGTGGCCTATTCTCCTCCACGAGAAGTAACAAGCGTAATTAAGCATGTAGGCATATTATGATCTATATTATATCGTTTATAACTAGCTCAACAGGAGAAGAAGCATTTTAAAGGAAATAATCACTGAGAATAAAAAAGAAGGTAAATGTTCGCTACAAATGTTTTCAAATACTTAATTTTCAAATTTAAAATTATTTTTAAACATAAATGTACTCAACTGTATTACGGAAACATTACAGTTTATAAAAATCTGTTTTTTTTCATTTTAGATGCTAGAGCGACATATCTGACTAAATCAAACCGCTCAGTGAAATTAAATGCATATATACAAGCTGTAACATACCCATCAACGAGAGCAATAATTGGATTTCGATTCCGTTATTCTCAAGCTGATGTAATTATTCGTGAGCTTCAAGTACCTATTATAGCTAATTATAGAAACTTTATAAATGTAAGCGTGTTATTACTGTACTTAATTAATTGGTAGATATGTACAGTTATTGATATGGTGGAGAGGATTTGTAGCTCAGGTGGACGATTTTGATGGAGTTATTCTCTAAGCGATTCTGTGAGATATCAAGTAATATGTTGAACATTAGATACATGATGAACATAAGCAGAGAAATCAAGTTCATTCTTTAAATTATCTGTATCTTGTTATACTAGTTTCAGTTAAAAGCTGGATAATCAACAGAATTAGGAATGAAAAGCGACCAACATAGAAAATGGAAATATAAATTATCGGGATTTTACAGGAGTATTTATATTAATTTAACGAATGTAGCAATCTGCTAGAAATATGACTCATCAAAAGGAAGTTGTGTAGTGATCTTTAGGATTTATGTCTAAGAGGACCAGTTTATACAGACATTTTTCTTGGCGTTCCAAATTTCGGCCAAAACATTTTTTCATCATGGAGCAAACATTTTTTAGCCTAAATGCTTAGAAAATCATTTAAAAACAAAGCAGACAATATTGAATATAGTGTTAACGGAAACTACAGTCAATAACTTCAACACTGATTTCATGCGTATCCTATCAACTGCCACAGTTTACAATTCTTACACTGAAGGGGAATAATATTTCCTGTTTTGATACCTATGTAAAAGTGAATTATGATGTGGAAAATGGTGAAATTATGATATTTAAACTTTTCTTAGTACTATGCTAACTCATTCAACGACTGGCGTATAGTGAGGACCATTATGTTTAGATATAAAATTTACAGGACCCAACGATGTCAAGCTAACTCATTTCTGGAGTAACACTAGTCTGTTAGCTTAATATTGCAAAAATAATGATTATCAGAATTTTTCGCCAATGTATTCGTATGCGTACATTTTGTTCACTAAAAAACCAATTAGTCGTTAGTAAATCATTTATTGGTACAATTTGATTAGTTCAGTTCAGTGGATTTCAATCACTTTTTATTAGATTTTAAATCATAGTGATTTTCATCTCTTAAGAACATATATATAGAAAAATGCCATTAAAGTTTGTCATAGGTAATTAGGTATATTAGTTATAAGGCAAATTTGCTTAACTAAAAAGCTTTTCCTTACCTGCGGACGTTTGCAGAATACAACAAATTGCAAAACACATTCAAAATCTTTAGTCACATCTACAATTTAATTTATAGAAAATGCTTTGAGTAACATGTTTTTTCAGTAACGTTCCGTTCAGTGTAAACACAATATAATAACCGATATGGATTCAGATACACTTCTGTGGGTACTCCTACTATAGCACTTTAGTCATTTTCATTACAATGATGTTTCGGTTGTTTGTTCCCTATTTTGAGAACCATCGATATCTTGGTATCATTAAGGAACTTTCACGACGAATAAGAACAACACAAACAAGTAGTGCCATTAAATTTACTTCGAGTGTCGTGATTTGGTACATAGCTGTATTTTTATCCCATCCCAACAAACACCCTTTCAAGAGACGTTTTAGGAAATTGGTTGGATTGAAGTCGGTACTTAAAATATATCGCAAATTATTTTCTTTATTCGATTGATATTCATATGACGGTCCTAGAGAAACTAGATGACTTCTCAGTTCATTATAATTCTTTGAATAATATAAATTCAAACAGATAAATTTACGTGATAGATTTGACTCAGAAAATATTTGTTTGCCTCATGAGTAAGAAATGCTGCGGATGCATTTGCTTGCGAATCGAAGTGTCTTCAAAGTCCATTACGCTTAATACAACGAAACCAGGAGATGTTATGGGCCTGTTTCCTAATACACGAATTATTCTTATATGCCAAAGAACCACATTCATAACTGTGATAATATTTCCCATAATATGTAGTCCTGTATACATATACCGCTTTGAAAAAGATAAATACTGTTCACATATTTCCGAATCTTTGAAGTAAATAACCCTAAAAACTCAATAACTTATCTCCTTCTATGAAGATAATATCTGGTTATCCTTTGTGTTTTCCAACGAATAAGCTTTACATGTAGTTATTGATTCTGATGTAAATGAAAATCACTTATCGTGGAATGAAATTAGGTTATTCTGTCGAATTCCTCATGTTCGTTCTTTATTTCATTCAGCTAGAGAAATTTTATGGGAAACAGTGTACTTAGGAATTAGGTTTCAGAAATCGTGATCATGTTCGAACTAAAATTTAAATCCATGATTACACAATAACCACAGTTCAAGGTTAAGAAAAATACAAATCTTCCACAAATTACTGACTTTTTATACCTATCCTAAAATAATAATGACCAACCATATCATTCTTAAACTTATTGACTCTGTCAGAATGGATAAAAGGAAAAATATAAAAGGTTTCAATAATGATAGGGTGTGTAAATATTGAAACTATTATTATTCAAGTTAGTGTATGATAAATTCAAATAAATTTTTCTACTACCTGAAAAACTAACTACACTTTGGCTAATGAGAACAGTGACATGAGCGACAGGACCTTTCTAAAACCACACATAAATCTGTAAATAAGTGTTTACAAATTCTAATTTAATTAAAGGCATTCATTTACTCATAAAGTCAATTTTAACTGAATTTATCGTTGTAATTAATTTAACCACTCACAAGCCCATTGCTAAAGTATTATTCCACAGTAAATTTCATTGTGTGGTAAAAAGTGTACCAAAAGTGTGTGCTCTGTATAAAAATCAGGTTTATGACAGTGTTATGACCAGTTACTTCAATAAAATTATTAAAAAATGAATCTTAATCCAATAATTCTACTCTTCGATTCATTATTATGTCCCTAGGTTTCAAATCCTACTTTCAACTTTTCAGGAATTTCAAATCCAGCTAAAGTTGAAACATTCGCTGAAGTTTTTTTCAGTCTTAGACTTCCTCCTTCATCAAAACAGATTTATGCTGTAGAAGTAGGCTTTGACAACGTTTCTTTAGGTGAATTCTGTTATTCTGCCATCACAGAAGTTGGAAAAGGGATCACAAACAGAATAACAGGGGTAAGTTACCAACATTAAAATATTTTACAGAGTAAACTATTTATAGGAGAAATATTCTGTAATCCAAGTCTAGATTTCGATTAAGTGATATTATTTGGTCACTAGTTCAAAATACAGCGACGAAAATATACTTAGTGGTGAGACAATGACAGTTAGTAGATTTATGGTCTTAGATGACGATTAAACTGAAATATTTCGCGAATTCAGAATAACACCAGTTTTAATGTTTAAATTTGGAACATAACCTTAAGAATAATTTACAACTTTTCAGTATGATTTCTATAACAATCATAAGTAAAAATATTAGTGATTCATGTTATCCGAGAAATCAGGAAACGATTGACATCTTAATTACCACTGTGAACAAGAGAAAATGAGATAAATTTATTAACAAACTTAGTGACCGGTACCGACCATTTGAATATTTTAAAGAGAGCAAGAACGAAGATTGGTGCAGAATAATATGAATTCGTTTTATTTTGTTAGTTTCTCATCAGCTGCTTACAACCTAAAATATTTGAAATTCAACATTGTTACAGATATTGACATATTCATACATAAGAAGGTGATTAAGGATGAATAAATATATCATGGTGTAGCGAAGATTCCGATGGAGTTAATGAGGTCATAAAATTTTGTCTTGAATAAATAGAGTTTGAGAGGGAAAGTTCCGGAACATTGAAATAGTGATTAGAACTTATGAAAATAGATTAATGGTAATGAAGAAAATGTGAATTGAAATCAGTCAGTTATGCATGATGTAATTTAATTTTGGATATTCTTAGTTTAATCGTAAATGTTCATTTTCTTATTTTTCAGGATGTTTGATATTTATGGTGACTAGTAAATGAAATAAATTTCATTTCCATAATCTTTGTTTAGGATACAAAAGTTCTTCTCAACTTTCACTATGCACTGGGTTATATGTTGTTTAAATGTTTATATCCACGTTAATGATTTTGTTTTTTTTTAATCTGATAGATGAGATTGTATACGGAATATATGACTCAAAAGCTAACAATGCTTCGAAGAATGGCGGTAATAAATCTTGGGGTATTGGAAAATCCAGCAACAAATAATACAGAGTATTATGTGATTTTCAAAATAATTGTAAGACCATCCATAGATAAAGCTTTTCCAACAATCAGTGAAACTCAAATTAATGCACGAGTTTTTATTACGGGTACACCTCAACAACAACAACAATCAATTGCATTTTCTGTTGTCGATGAGCCAATTTTACCGATTACAGTAAGATTTTACAATTAACTTAAGCTGTGGGTTAATTTTCAATCTCTATATTCAAAAAATTTAATTTAATAAATAAATTACATAACAGACGTTGCATTACAAGTTTCTTCTGGACAGAACTTTTTAAAGCATATTTACTTAGAAAAATGAAAAACAATTTAGTTTGTCAGGAATGAGTATGTACATCAAAGTGTTTGGTAAACATCATATCTGATCTGTCCACTTGAAACTATTCTATTTTCAGGTAGTGAAATTAACATTCTCATTAGTATTCTATGAAAAACCTAATGTATAGATCTCCCATAGGTATTGTAAGTAATCGCTATAGAAATAAAAGCCCATTATTTTATTATATAGCATTTTAAGTGATTTTTCGTTATATTAACGGATTCAGAATTATTTCTTTTATTATTTTTCAAGTGTATGCTTAGTAAAACATCATTGACAGTAATTATATTTCGGTTTGAAGTATTAAAATCAATGGAACGAATGTCCATGCGGTATTTATATTACATAAGTACTAAACAATGCACATAATTTGTGAAGAGTTGAGAGTATTTATAATATGAGCTTCAAATTCACTTTATGTGTGGGATTAAACTCAAAGCTATTATTAGTGGGGTTTGTTAAGTTTTTTCATTTAGACCATGAATCGATCAATATTAGACTACCAATGAAAACCTGGAAGCACTGGAAAGCTAATCCATGTCGGGTGTGAGGCAGTTACCCACCGGAGACAATCGAAATGGCCGCAAAATTTCGTTTATTGGTTGAAGTTAGATATTAACACCGTTGGACGCCGGCTCAATGGTCTAGAGGATAAGTATTCGTGCGTAAAATCGAAGGTCCTGGATTCGGATCCTGTGTGCGTGATCACGGATACGAACTGCTGAGTCCCATACAGTGACGAAATGGTTGTTCAACGCTTTCAGGTTTTCAGTGGTGGTCTAAAATTGGTCAATCCACGATCTCAATCAAAGCTATTACTGCTGAACTAATTTTGAAATGTCGTCAGTCTGGTTCATTGCTGATGTGATTGCAGTGTCTTTAAAGTTTCCACTATGAGAACTTTGACTGTATTTTGAGAACATAAACATATCTTTAACTTTACGTTCTTGGTAAAAAAAATACTGTTAAGGCCAAAATATTGTGCAGCTTATTTTACGAGTGTAGACAGGAAAACTTCACAAAATGCGACATTTTTCATTTCCAATTTGTCTTTTTCTAAAGTAACACAAGACGGTTAGATTTTTTCCAGTATATTTTTGTTACGTCCCACAATCAAGCCATACGCGTAGACGACCGTAAGCAACCAATGCACATCAAGGATTTGAGAGAATGATACTTTATGCCTGACGGTTAGCCCAATACTAACTAGCTCCAAACGAAAAGGAAGAACACAAGATCAATCTTCACCAGTCCAAGATCATTATTATATTTCGGACGTGTATTTATTTGTATGCTATGCCAAACCACACAGCAGACCAATTCGGGTAACTGTATTAACACAGAACAACAGCATTAATTATGAGAAAATGGAATGCTTGGTGCAAAAATAATTGGTTCTAGTTTCTGAATGGAAGATGCTATAGCAACAAATTACACTTCAAATGAAAGCTTAGAACTTGAGTAACAAGAAAATAATAAAATCAAAATACAATCAATATATAAATAAAACCGTCTATAAATAGTTTTGAAAGTTTTTACCTCATAGTTAAATCATCTTTAGCAAGTACTTTAAAGGTTTCAAGCATGGCTTTAGAGAGAGTATACCTAAAGGATGGTAAAGCTCATAGTCTTGAAAATATTAATGTTTAAGTATGGTGAGAAAAAGAATTGGGATAAAAAGTCAAAAACCCATTTATTTCCGTATCTCCGGATACATTATTTATTCTGACAAAATATATTGGTTAAAAAGAAATCAACAGAATCCGTAGAAATAAAATAACCAAAATGACAGAAAATATAGCTAATGGTTTACTAGAGAATAATTGTTTTAATTTTCCTGAAACATTACAAGTTTGTATCGCCGTACTTTGTCTTCTGCTTTCCCTCTATTCATTCGAGACAAACCTGGCCCAATATAAAAATCAGTTGAGTAATCAGATTTAATATACATAGAATCACTGGGATTGAACCCATATATTTAAAGGACCCAGAGGTATGATGTCTTAGTTGACTAGTAATCATTTTGTAATAATAAATTAAACATGATTATCATGTTGATTATCTATAAAACCATAAGTAGCTGAAAATGAAATGAAACATTGTGCGAATTCTACTACCATTTATCGATATTAACTAAACCTTGGTACGTTGAATGCAAGTGGGAAAAAAGGAAAGTTCACAGAAAGTGAATTTTCGGTCGTAAACGAAGGGACCTAAGATATGGATAATTTATGTACTTTTACAGGTTTCTTATTACATAAGCGTCAGATCAGATATTGAGTCCATATTACCAAATTTAACTTACCAATAGTTAATATAACTCACTATTCATGAGAAATAAGCTTTTCAGTAGTTTTCAGGTAAGAAAATATCATAATTAGGAAGAATCAAATGGGATTTAGATATTTGATTCAAATCTTCACAACCATCTAGGCCATATTCCTTTCTTTTTTTGTTTCCATGATTAATTTCAACCTTCAGTGAAAGCAATTGAAATGAACAAGTATCTACGAAACACCTGATTAGTCACTATTCACGGCTCCATAAGAAACCAGCCTCAGGGTGGAAATCTAGATTTTTCAGTGAGGCACTTAATTTTCTGGGTAACTAGGTTAGAGAAAATCATATTTTCACAACCCACACATATCAGGATAAATGAAAAAGTTTCTAAGGTGCTATTTGAAAGCATTTCGAGTTTAAAGATCATTTTATTGAAGGGAAATCTCTTCAATATGTTGACTATTAATTTACTATAAGTTTATTTATGCATACCACTCCCAACTACGAACTTTTCTGCTGAACATTTAAATTATCATCTCATTTGAGCTTTTATACTAATCATTTCCCTGAAAAGCTTACTAAAATATAAGTAAAGGTAAATAACATCTGTCTCACTATTCAGTTATCCTATTGTAGAAAAAAGTTAGATGTCTTAGAAAACGATCATAAATTTTTATCATGCGAATAACTATTTATTTTTCTTCCAGGCAAATAATTCACCCAACGTGAACCTTTACAAAACCGAACCTGCTCTAAGTGAACCTATGGACGCATATAACGGAATTCTATTTGCTGAAATTTCTTGGGTTGAACAAGTGATCTATAGTCCCGTCAAGATTTTACTTAGCATTGTAGGTTCCGGAACAGCATTAACTGAAATAACATTTATTTCGATTGGAAGGTCACTGATCACTGTAATCCCCAGAGCTTCAAATATGTCAATTACAAAGCAAGTTTTATGTATTGTTTTTGTATTAACATATAAAATGTTTATAACATTTAACAAATAAGAAAACCATTTCGTCAAGTATTCGTAGGAAATAAAGTTGATGAAACACTAAGTTATCGTATTCCATGCTATTAATAAATGGTGTACTGTTTGTGGATTATTTCAATGTTTTCCTGCGCGTATTACACTGTGAAGTAAATAGATGTAAGTACCAATACAATAATATTAGTAATCAACCAGTTCATATAAAGATCGTGTCTTACATAAAGATCTCTCAGCTAATGACTGTATATCCTTTATAAATATTAAATACTATCGCCAAAATTTCAGCGGTTTTATTTGAATACGCGGACGTCATACATTTACATTTCAGTATTTTAACTCTCAAGTGAGAAAATGGTAAAAATGTCAAAATGAATCCCTTGGAGAGTCTGGTATAGAGTAGGTAATACATCAAAAAGAAGTCTCGGTTATTTTGCTACAAGTCTAAAGTCAAGTTGATGGCTAACAACTAAATAATAGTTTTTTTAGTTTACAAAATATTTTTTCAACATATTAACCGACTGATATTTGACATGAAGCAAAGATTTGATGAAGTCATTTTTTAAGAGGACGATAAATGGTAGGAAGAATAAATTAGACTAAGCAAAAGGATTTATCTTATAATCGAATTTATTTTAAAGGAATACTATAATGAGTTAGTTCTTATTTACTGCTGACGCTTTTGGACTGGATTCTGTTTTCACAATTAACTGAAAACGGTATGTTAAAGTTGGTTCAATTTCATTCATATAAATTTCCGAAAATAATTTCTACGGGATTATCTACCGTATTCTAGAATGATATCACGATGAAATGCAAACTCGACTAACTCATTATATCATACAATCGTAAATTTACTACTGAAAGTATATAAAATGGAGTGATTTTTAGTATTAAAATACACTTATGAAGTGATTATATTTTCAACATGTAATTCAACTGAAATTAAATTGTAATGACCAAATGGTTGCCTTGGATATTAAATGTTTATTAACAGCTTATTGATAATATGGTGAAAATTTCCAGTTTATTCTATCACTGATAATTTCTGAAAGTTTTCGTGCTCTTATGAACAGCATTAGTAAAATTGTTATAATACAGTTCGATAATCTTCTGCATATAAAGTAATGAATAAACTTTTTAGATCAGCTTTATTTTAACAACTCATTTTGAATTTTTGAACTTCTTTTTTATAAGAGTTTTCATCATTAGATATTCCCTGAGACTATATTTTGTTGAATTATGTTAACAAATAAATGACGTTTGCTTTCTGTGAAATATTACTTTAATATAATTTGAAGCACTCTTTAAGATTTATAACACTTAACATTGAATACTTGGTGAAATATTATGAACAGTCCTACAATGTATGTTCTTTCAGCGGATGCCGTGTTCTTCAGCTAACAAGAACTCTCATCTTTGACCAAAGCAGTTACATAGAAAGCTCAAACTAATACTTATGAACTCTAGATTGTCTGTAAATTATAGGAAAGACTTAGACAAAGGTATGTGCTCGGCGACCCTGGTTTGGTGTGTATTTCACTTTTGATAAACTAGTTATAATATTCCAACTAGGTATGTGTCCTTAAGGAGTCATGATCTACCTGGACTTGCCATGAAGGTGAAAGATGTATGCGTTTATATACGTCGAATATCACGTCAATGTACTTATTTGTGAAGTTGAACTGAAGGTAAATAATACTATTCTGATAACTTGATCACTGCCTTCAATTGTTACATTAGTCTTTTCATTACGTATTATGAATATGGAACTGATCTAACGAAATTATTTTACAGTTACAGAAGCCACCCAACTGTTAGTTTGAAATTATTACAAAATGTTTATTCTAATGAAATATATATGAATTGCTACAATTAATTTTCATAAACATTACTAATTTATTATTTTCATTTTTGTTTAAAAGCAACACTGGTATAATCGAACTTCCCTCTGTATATGTTGTTCCCACTCCTTATAAATATGACAATATACTAGTCATCAAGTATTCGGTTAAAATCGTCGGTACAACAAAATTCAAAGTTATATTAGATGTTATAACTGGAGGATATACAGCAACTAGTCAGATTAACTTCGCACCGATTGCTGCCGTATCACCTCCGCAATTGGTAAGCTATTCAAAAATATGCTTTGATTTTACGTTCGCTGTCAATTATTATGATTAGCTTTATTCAATATTATATTTTTGGTACAATATAGAATTCTCAGCAAAAATTATTCCAACAACTATTTGTTTCTTCTTGGTAGATCCTGACGATAAATATTGAGTGATCGCCAATTAGAAGTTAGCAGTCCAGTTAATCGACATCTGAATAATGTACATTATTTTCGCTGCATATTGCCAGCAACCCCAATATCTCTAATTAGGCCTTTTGTAACCTGTACACCGAAAAATTGCGCACTTTTCAGAAACGAACCTGAAGGGGTTATGCGATTAATAGCCATAATGATGTATATGAACAAAAGAAAATTAGATAACTTGTTGAAATATCTAGATGGCAGGAACATGTAGCCCATATGTTCAAGCAGGCCGCCATTTGCTCTAACGGTCTAGTTACATGTTTGAGAGCATCAGCATTTTAAAATGAAACGATAAATCCCTATATGATGTGCCAAAAAGTTAGTAGACACACTACTTAGTCAAATTTGAAATTTCCAATCAAATTAAAAACAGTCCTAAATTAAAAGTATTTGAGAAAATCACATAATCTATGTCAAGTGTGCATCATTTTGATAAATGTAGCGAATCCTCTAGAAATATTTATAATGAGTATAAATTTATTGACTTCTATTTCAGACAAGTAGTCAATTACCTTACTGGGCAATCGATAGTTTGGCAACCTCTCGCAATAATAATAGTGTAGTACGAGGTGCATTTAATTTACTTTCATTCTCCATGATTATATGTTCAGGCGCAAGACAAACATATTCAGCTCAACTCTACGTTTTACAAATTACAAATATTGTAACTTTTATGAAGACAAAAACTATTGTTTTTGGTCGTTCTATTAGTAAGTCTGGAACCTCGTCCACTATTGCCAATGCTAATACTATAAACTTAAATATGGCTTCACAGTACTTTGATAGTGAGTAAATTACTATTAAAAACTTTTATATTTATTGGTAATTTTCTTCTGTTTTTATTGTATTTACTTTTCTTAAGTGATTGATATTAAAATAAAATATGAAAAAAATATTTTATTCCAAAAAAAGTTCTGTTTTAAGTATATAGTAATTAATGTTTTCTTCTTTAGGAGCAATATCTGCTTACATCATCTGTAAATAATTTTATCTAGTTACATTATCACAATTGACTGATCACTGGGTGGTGATCAATGTCATGTGTGTCAGGTCCTTCTTAGTGCAGATCGAATGCTATCGACCATGTTGCAATGTGGCCACCAGTCTAGGTGACTCGACACTGCGGGCACTATATATTGAGATTAGATGGCGGTTGGCGGTAGTCGACAGGAAACCCTGAACCCGGGTTTCGTTCTACTTGGTACTCGTCAGGAAGGTGTACCTGTAATCTTGGGGGAACTAGTGCTCCCTGGCGGATTTGATCCCTTGTCACCCAGCTTCACAGTCAGAGACGTTACCACTGAGCTATCCGGGCCGCGACCGACCTCCTGTAGGACTGAGATATAATCACAATTGATTGATCACTGGGTGGTGATCAATGTCATGTGTGTCAAGTCCTTATTTAGTAATCGGACACGATAAGCAATGATACAAGCATAAATCTAAGATGATCTGTTTTTCTTAACTTAAAGCTGATGGTGTAACATTTGATTGTCGTATAATATAACAGAACTATGTAAAAAGCTGCATTGTAATTAATCGACAAATTTATTTACACTTCGTGATCACTTAAATTAGATAATCGGATTTAGCAAAATTATATGAAAGTTGCCTATGATCCGTTGAATGGCTAAATTGCTTACTAAATTTCCTACTTGCTTTTGCTTGACTAATTATTTAACTTAAGCATATTACAAGGTTTATCAAATTCCGATCTTTAAGTTGACTAAATATAGTATCAATTTAAAAAGCAAAGAGCACAGTACAGTGTGAATTTTCATCCAGCATTATATGTCGACTAATCTGTTTTTTTCTAGATAGTCAACAAATATTCTTCTAATTAAAAACAAAAATCTTAGTCATACAATCTGAATGAGAAATTATATAAATTTTATTTTATTTGAAAATGAAGGAAATGTCATAGCCAACATGAATTAGTACTTAATGCATCAGTACACATCAGATCTTGCTCTTGAATAACGTGTTTCTTCACTCGACAAATATGTAGTGACTAGTGACCTCATTAATATTTACATTATATTTATTACTAATTTACTCTCTATTTGATATTAGAGTAAGGGAAAATTTAATGTTGCGACAAATTGGATTATGAATCGTTTCTGAGTGGTTCAGATTTGTTCATCTAATTCCAGATGATCTGGCTTGAATTTCCCTAATTGTTACTTCTAGAAAACCTGTTGCAAGAAATAGAGTTCACATAAGCCACCACTTTTCTAACTGACTTTAATGTACAAAAATAGTCTAAAAATGCTCTAAACAAATTTTCTAAATATTCATTATTAGACTTTTTATTAAAATGAGAGAACTTTCATTTTATCTTAGTACTAACTAAAAGTAATTTATTATCACATATGATTTTTAGGTAGTGAAAGTATCTCAAATTCAAAAAAGGAAAGATCAATAATCACTTTTCTTGTGCCTTTAAATGTCAATTTACTGGCATCTTCAGTTGTTTCAGTGAGTGTTACAGTTCAATATGGAACACAATCAGCTCAAACGTTCGTCAGTTTACCTGTTATCCAGCCTGAAGTAAGTAATGTCGTTTCATTGAAACTATTTATTTAATTTTATCATGTGATACGTAATTTATTTTACTTTCAGATAGACAACCTCTTAGTAATTTGTGAACCGTTTCATTCTAAATAATCTCCTTAAAGCCTTACTCTTGGTAATAATCATGTACTTACTGGTAACTAGCTTTGAGATGAACTTTTGAAGTTCTAGTAATAAGCTGCAACTGATATTATTTAAGCATTTCCTAAATATTCCATACTAAACACGTTTTGTTGCATAGTGGGGAAAGTTAATTCTTGTTAGCTAAAATAAATAAGCATGACTAAATTATTAGACTAATACATATCTGTATTTAGTACCTGTATCGTAATGAAGGCATTTTCTTCTGTTCTGCTTTCATAATCTTCTACCTTCTGAATAATCCAATCTGTAAGTGAATAGAGGTATATCTTCGTCATTTGCACTGTATGCTCTCACTCAGTTAATCAAATACAAGTGATGTCCCACCTTTATCACAATTTTATTTAAAAACCAAAGTGTAGTCAAACGATTGAAAATTCTATTGGTTCTGTACAATGGAAAAATTCAATCACAACAATAAACTGATCATTGTTGATGGATAAATAAAGACAGATATACTATCATAAACTGCATCATTTTTAAAAGTTCTTAAAACTTATCCAGTTGTACTGTTCAAGCTTTGTTTTTACTCTCTGTTTTTATTTTTAAATGTAGTTGAGTATACCACAAACTTCTACCAGTTATCAGATAGATGCCATTAGCTACCAAGACAGACCATATGAACGTACTTCCCTTGTCGCACTTGGACAAACTGTTCGACTTTATAATAAAATTGGTCTTCCAAACACTATGTGTACAACATACTCATTTGAATTTACTATGTCATCCAATTTATGGCCAATTGATTTTCTTGATGCACAACTCGTGAGCTATAGTGATTTTATATGGTCCACTAGTACTATCAACCCTTTAATAACTAAGTAAGTAAAAATAACCACTCTATAAAATTATATATTTTCAGATAGAATTCTTTAGTATTTTGATTTATTTGTAGTCATCCATAGTCTACTTATTTGATTTTTACTGACAAACTGAATGTCTTAAATGCTTCACATTGGCCTTCGATCTAGATTGTGAATAAAAATCAGTCATAATTCATTGGATTATGCACATTATACAAAGCGTTTACAGTAGCTAGATTTAGTAAGCAAATAACATGTATACCTTTATTTAAATGATTTATATCAGATGGTAATACGACAGTCAAAATGTCAACAGTTGATTAACTGAATATTGGCTAAGCTTGTGACTTTCGATCGACAAATGTTTGATATCCAAGATTGAAACTGTCTTTTCTGTTATGCATTTTAAATAAAACTGATGCTTTACTTATAGGCAATGAGTAATTCATTGACGTGTTTTTCCATAATCATGTAGGGTGATATAACAATCGACCAATGAGTTCTTAATATTTATTATATTATGGTTTCACTTTATTCACGATATTTTCTAATCAGAAGATGATATCCTTGACCAGTTAAAAGTTTAGAAACAGTTTTTGTCTATTCATTTTGACCTATAAGAAACAGCTTAAAGAAAATATTACTTTCGAAATGTTAAGATGAAATATGACCTAAATAAATTACTTTCATGAAAAGTTTAAGTCCACTGAAACGTTCTATCAGTCTAACTTAGAGGCTGACGAAATATTAAATTAATTACTCATTATTTTTTCTTTAAACTTAAGTCAATGTTGATAGCCTATTCTTCTATCGAAGTACAACATTTAAAAATTAGTTTCATTTCAATAACAATGTTAAGTCAATGATAAAATTTTCTATTTTATTATAAACTAGATTACGTAGTGAACTCTTTCATCACAGATACATATACATAAACAATGGTTTTGTAATTTATAACGATAACAAATAACCACTGTTATAAACCAAAAGTTTATACTGAAAAACTATATAAACAATTTCGATTAGTTAAAAAAACAGTATAAACGGAATAAAGTCAATCTGAAATGATTGTATGCAAATCGTACTGAAGAATTTACAATTGACCTAAATAAAGTGAAAAATTATATGTGAAAATTACATTTGAAATAATCTCAGCGATTGGAATTTAAATAATTCCAATGTTTCATCCAGCTAACTTGTCGAGACTTCTTCGAGGTAATAATCAAAATCATCAAGGAAATATAAGAATGATGACAATGAAATATAAAGATTTTAAAACTGTGGTTATCAGGTTTAAAGATGCTGTTCTGTATGTTCACGTATTATCTTCAAAATTCTGGATAAATCAATTCACTTTTAGGCTCCCTTTCTCTTATTATTCATCAAATAATCCAGTCAGGTAGTTTGGGATAATTAAGACAGTTTTCGCCAGAAACTAACATCAACTAGAAAACTATTTTAAACGAGAGAAAGTAGGGCAGTTATTTTGCCATAATTTAAGTATATAATTTGAATTGCCGACTAAATGATCCGAATGAATACAGTTGGTGATGAGAACTATTTTCACTTCTGAAACTAATTGGAATGTAATGACTGTCATATTATTGAATTATTTATTTCAAGTTAGTTTCATGTTTTTGTGTTTTCTAGATTGGGTTCACCAATATACAACAAAATTACTATGGACTTGGGATCATTATGTGTTCCGGAGACATACGACAATCAGGTAAAATATGTAATGACTTTATGGATGTCTTCATTTGTATCCACTATACTACCATTTAAATAAAATTAGCTCCATGCAGGGGATGATAATTTGTAATCGTAACTTATGATCTCTTTTTTATTTCTTCAGGATAAGTAACTTCATTCAGCATTTGACCTAAGCAATACCGACTGATATCTTATAGATGATATTTTAACTGTTTCATTTTTTTTGCTGTTGCAAGCTAAAATATTTAAAGGCCGTTTTGGAGTAACAACATTATTGATCCATACTTGTTTGAAGTAGGCATCTATTTATGCTGTATATTTTCTTACTCACCGCTTCATTAGTATAAAAGTCTTTTTAATATATCTTTGACTATTGTTATTACTATAAAAGAAGTTATTAATTAACATTCTAGCTTTCAGTGGTTGAAATATGCAGATATACACTTAACATTTCAGTTGTAATCAAATTCACCAAGAGATATACCTGTGACTGTAATTATAGCTTGAATTTATTTAACTGCCCAAATGAATTGAAACAATTACTTGGGCGGATGATTAATCCCATCGTTACCCTACGTTCTCTTATTGATCTGTCCAGCCATTGAAACTTATCAAACAAAACAGATCCACTTTAAATATACTATAAATTTATCCAGTAGATTAAATTGAAACATATCGCTTCTATCATGTGCATTTGTATTTATAGAAGTCATCAAATAAAGCTATATACACATATTTTAAGCTGTCAGTGATAATGAAATTTGAAAAATTAGAGTGTAATAAAACGTATTAGTCATTACAGATGAACTCCGAGATTAAGAATCCCGTGTATAGATAGTAACTGTCTAGCTTTATCATAAGTACTGTATAAAAATTCATATACAGTACGTTCAATATGGGGTTAAAAACCTTATTGTTTGATCATATTTATATATCATGTCTAGTCTCAAACAAGTAATCCTGTCAGTAAATATTTGGAATCAACGCTTGTTTTGACCATTATGTGCTAAATGATCAATTGTACTACTAAAAAGAATGTAAAGATAACAGTAATTTGTTTATAAAAATTAATTGTATTACAGAAAATATGATATCATACTAATTACATTTTTCACTGCTATCTACATTAACTAACGCGTTAAACATGGTTACCATTATAGATCCTCATAATTATTTTTAGTTATATGAAAATACTGTAAATAGAAAAATATCCTAAAAATTATAGTAGTTTGAGATGAATTTGTGAAATACTGTTTACATTTATTTAGTATATTGCACTTTTAAAAAATGGTAAATATTTTATTGCACATTTTTGGAAAATGATTCCTTTAATTCTGTGAAGTATTTAAGAGACATATTTCCTTGGATAAATTGAAAGAAACTCCATAACATAGTTTTTTTTATGAAATTGAAAAATTCAGCAATAACATCTACACGTAGCCTCCACAAAAAATCAAGTTCACAAGTACAATTTCGGTATTATTTGACTTAAGATAATTTATAGTTAATATTATCAACGATTGGAATTCATGTTCGATTCCCGGCCTTCTGAAGGTCAGTTTAACATCAGTTGCATGCAACGACTTTATAACATGTGATCAACAGCGGTCATTAGTTAAGATAATGATCTTTCCATAACTTTGAGTCATAACAATAAGGAAATCTGAATACTCGATCGCCATATCTAGTAGTTACGATATTTGTATGATTCCAAGTTCTCTTTGAGATACTGAATCACATCAGATTCCGTTCACTTGCCAGATAAAGTATGCCGAAAATCCACACAAAATTAATTACTATATATATGCCCCATTGATTTATATATGTTAGTTGTTAACTCCATCGAACACATTTTCTACCTCGCATGAGAAATAAAAGAGACATATTACTGTAATTGAAATCACAAGCCGATCAAAGTTAGAAAATCACTGAGTACCTCAAAGCACAGGACAGACGTTTAATGCTACCATAGGATTCCTCAACCAGAAATCAATTTCATAATCTTTGGTTTAGTGATCGAATGTCTAACCTCTAGACCATTGACTCAGTATCTGATAGTGTGTACAAGTCTAGCTTCAATCAATCTATTATTAGATCTGTACTTACGAAGTGACAAATAATGAGTGAACATTATGCAGATTTTATCACGAAATAATTATTGACAGAAATAATTTCACATAGCAACAGGAAAAATATTCAAATTTATTTAATTTTTTCACAGGTCCGGATTGATCTATTTTTTCGCCCAAGGAGTAATTTTTCAGCGAGTACTGTAAGTGGAAATATAACTGTGTCTGTTAAAAGTTTGCTTACAGTGGGTACCCTATCTAGTCCATTGTCTCTGTCAACAGGCGTTTTTGTATTTAATAAAGATGCACTCATGAAAGAAAGTATGTTTGTATTAGCATCATTCAGTGAAGACAAGTATGTAAGTTTATCTTTTTGATCTACTAAGAAAGTAATATGTGTCTATATATTTGCAGTGTGCAAATATTATTAAGTTTATCTGCAATGTTATAATTCAAATCATCACAGTAAAAAAGAGTAATGAATTGTAATAATCTGCTATTTAAACTACTTTTACTAATTAGACACAATGAGTGAATTTTTTCTGGTGAACTACACTACTTCTATAAATCTTATAACTGATAATCAAGAGAATAACCTCTTGTTAGGTATTCACTCTTAAGTTAGCAATAAGAACGTTCTTTTCAAAAAAACCAGTTGAATCTTAAAATTTGATCTGATTTCAGAAACCTTGGATCAAAAACATTACAAATGGAATTTCTTTTCAACCAGGCATATGGACAAAGTTCACATTTAGAGTACAAGTACCATTTGCCTCTTATCTGCCTGATTCATCTATCTTTGTGGGTGGTGCTAATTCTAGTGCAGAGAATGAATCAATTTTTACTGTTAATGGTGCACTCTTAACTTTTGGATCTAATTTGGCTGGATTACGTTTGGATCAATTTAAACAAGTATACTCATCTACATACATGAATGGACAAAAGGATTTGTTGGAAATAAAATTGGGAAATGTTGTCAATACAGGTAGTAAATGATAATACGAAGTTAACACTCTAGTTATTTTTTCTAGCTACGTACACAATAAACTTATCAACTGATTGATCTTTAACACGTTTGTTACGTGTGAGACAAAAACACATTTGTTAGCTAGCATCTATAAACATATGTCAGTTAAATAAGTAGTTATATAAGTTGGTATTAATCAATCAGGTTGAAGATCTGTAAAAAGTTTGAAATTAATAATTAATCCTTAAATCTGACAAAGGTTCTGGACTAGTTTTTATGAATAAATGTGACTATAAGGTAAAAATGTTATCTGTACTTGGTGATCAGAGTAGGTTTTTGGCGGACGTTCTATCCACTATTGATGTTAGAAAATAGGAATCCAGGTTAAATTTCAATCTAATGAAACTACTTAAAATGAATTTCATAAACGAAAAGGGATTTGATATAATGAAACCTACCGGTTATTTTCTCTTGAATTTATATGGATTGCCTAAAGTTCACAAACCTAATAATCCATTACAACCAATATTATCCATGTGTGGTTGATCTACACATGAACTAACAAAATGATTAGCTGAATTAATGAGACTGATCGGTAATAAACTGTGTAAATTTTCCTTGAAAGATACATTTAAACTAACTGATTTTCTTGATGACATTAGTATTAAAGAAAAGATTAAGCATTCTTTCGATGTAAACTCTCCTTTTACGAACGTATCTTTAACTAAGACTGTTAATTTCCTGTGTAACCGTATATCTAGTGATTTCCTCCTTTTTCCTATTCGGTCAACACTGTTAAAAGAACTACTTATGTTGCTATGAGTAGCCCTCTGGCGCCTCCCTTAACTGATGTATTCTTGTCATATGTTGAAAATATGACGAGCAGGCACAACGGTAAGTTAATTCTGTACAGCAGATACATGGGTGATATACTAGTTATATGTGATAAAGATTTCGATGTTTCTCAGTTATTAAATAAACTCAATAGTGTACAGAATGATATCATAATGACTTATGAGGAAGAAAGTAATAACCAATTGCCTTTTTTGGACATATTTTTGAGTCGAAGAGAGAATAGAACTATAAGGTGGTCAGTTAAATGAAGCCAATATTTAAAATTTTACAGTTTCTGTCCATTGCAATACAAGGGAGGCTTGGTTACGTGCATCCTTAATAGGATTAAAAGAATATGCGAGTAAAGAAGACACAAAACTGCTGACTAACTCAATAATATCAAAGTTTTATCCATTAAAGTGTATAAATAGGTGCAAAAGTCAGTCGACCCCAAAATCTTTCATTTATTTTGCTCTGAAGAAAACTGTTTATATCTCTCTAACATTTAGAGCTGAATCCAACAGCATGGTTTTAAGGTAGAGACTAAAAACAGCCATCGAGAAAACCTATTACGCTGTTAAACTGGTTGTGATTGAAACGACTAAGTCCGTGATTCTAAATAGACCCAGACAATGCACAAGCGACTACGTCATAATCCATCGCATTTACCAATTTACACGTTTGTGTAGACAAACATACATAGGGAGGAATGATCGAACAATGAGATCAAGGGTTATGAAACATGTACTTCGATGATTTTTATAAGCAAACATTGATAGTGGCTAGCAGTGGAATCCAGGACGCGCGTTTCGTCCAGTTTGGGACTCGTCAGCCGGATGTACCTGCATCTCAGAGTTGATGTGCACTCTGGGACTCGAACTCAGTACCGTTCGCTTCTAATGCCATCGCGTTATCCACTCAGCGACTCAGTCCTGATAGCCACTTGCTTGTGCAATGGAACGAAACGCGCGTCCTGGATTCCACTGCTAGCCACTATCCATCTTTGCTTATAAACGTTTGTGAATTAAGACAATATCGAGGCATACACACAGTATGCACAACAGACTGATCAATTGCAGTCTTAAACCTCAATGGGAAGATACAAGCAGAACAATACCAAGTGAATGTACCTAGATGGCTCAAAAATCAGTTAATGTCAAATGTTCCGATAAACGTAGGAAGTAGGAAACCATGTTCATCAACAGCACAACACATAAATGAAACGAAGCATAAAATTGACATCAATACTGCTTTAAAAAAGTTGTATAGAAATCGTCAAAGATGAATTCCTAGCTTTATAGAAGCCCTGGCGGGCAATACCGGAAGTCTTGCATTCGATTCCCGGATACGGGATCGTGAGTGCACTCGACTGAGAAGTCTCATACTGTGACGAGGAGGGCGTCCAGTGCTCCGCAATTTTCTGTGGCCATCTGACTGAAATAATTTCATGATTTAAATCATAAAAATAATGGTTCGTTAGGACTTTAAGTGAGAATATTTTTTTGAATTATCATTTACGACCTTTTCATCATGACTTTCTGTTCAAACATTTCTCACATTTTCAGAACTATTTATATATAGAAATTGTCAGATTGATTAAGTTTGTACGTGTTTGTTTGTAAATGTTTATGATCTATCAACCCTTCTTTTATAATCCTCCGGCAGAGAGGATCCTTTTTTGGCAGTAGTTAACGTATAATAATCGTGAACTTATTTATTAATCAGAATCAAACAACATAGATCCAGCAAAACTTTAAAGTTGTCATAACATTCTCAACTGCTTATAATTATGTATATGTAAGACTGAAAAAGCTTCTATTTATTTTTAATGAATATGAGTATAAATTTCTGATATTCCTTTTTTACGAAACTTCTAGGTGTTCTTTTACAACCAGATTCAACCAGTATAAATGAAAATGACATAGCGGTTGAAGTATCGGTTCGCTTATCTGATAGTAAACTTAGTGACAATGGAACGAATGTTACGCTTCCTATTCGAGTTAAATTTGGTAGCCTCGAAGCTGCCAATCAAATGGAAGGTAAAGTGTTCAGGGTTGGAGATGAATTTCTTAATCTACAGATGAATGTTATAAATTTGGATGAAAACGTGACTGGCCTGGTATATAATCCGAAGTAAGTTTATCATTATATATATATATATATATATATATATATATATATCAGCAGCCTGAAATTATGAACATTTTTTTGATTTTATGGCACCTTAATAGTGTGTAGATTACATTGATATCAGATGGGACTAATGCCTTTCATACGTGTTTCCGTGAAGAATTAAGGAATATCAGATGGGTTTTTGTGGAGATTGTAGTAATTTCAATGGTTAAGATCATGAGTCAGTTGAAGCTAGACCACCATGGAAAACCTGGAAGCACTGGACGGCCGTTTCGTCTTAGTATGGAACTCCTCAGCAGTGCGCATCCACGACCTCGCCCCCTGCGAGATTCGAACACAGGACCTACTGGTTTCGCGCCCGAGCACTTAACCATTAGACCACTGAGCCGGCATCCAACGGTGTTAATGTCTAACTTCAACTAATCCACGAAATTGAGCGACACATTCACCATTGTCTTCAGTGAGTTACTACCTCACAACAGACCTGGTTGAACTCCACTGGTCACTGCTGAGGAGTCCCACAATAGGACGAAACGGCCGTTCAGTGCTTCCAGGTTTTCCATGGTGGTCTAGCTTCAACTGACTCATGATCTTAAGCATTGAAATTAAGGAATACGGGAAAAGTAACGAATCGTCGAAAGCTAAATCCAAACATAAATTGTTTTTTTGATCATGCAATGAGAAGACGAAGTTTATCAGAATTATGTGATATATTTGCACAATACATTTCGAACAATCTGATCACACATATACATGTTAAGACATTTTTATATGAAAATTAGAAGAAACAAACGAATTCCAATGGTCAAATTAGATCACAGGATAGGCAGACATCATCCTTCATTGTGAAACATTTGATTGAGACATCAAATCAGCATTTGTAGTGTTGTACAAAGGCCTTCAAGGAAGTATACTAAGGTTTATTGAAGTCTTGGCTATACGGAAACTGAAACAATTTATCCTTACCCTTAATCTACCCTGGTAATACTGATTTATTATCCAGAATGGTTATCACATTGTTTTTGTGTACTTTAATATTATTTTTTTTCTTTTTTCTTTGTTATGGCTTACCTTTAACCTGTCTAGTTGACTTTTTAATTTTCATATATAAATGTTCTTAACAAGTATATGTGTGATCAGATTGTTTGAAATGTATTGCGCAAATATATCACATAATTCTGATAAACTTCGTCTTCTCATTGCATTATCGAAATTTATCAAAGGGACTAGATGTTATAAATTGCTTTCTTTCTTTGTGTAACAAAATAGTTTTACATTATTTAGTACATTTTTACTTACTTGCTTACTTACGCCTGTTACCCTCGTGAAGGAGAATGGGCTGCCCATCAGCATTCACCAACCAACTCTGTCCTGGACAATCCCTTCCAGTTATTTCCAGTTGTTATTCGTTCTTTTGATATCTGCTCCTAATGTCTAATTCAGTGTGTTTCTAGGTTTTCCTCTTTTCCGTTTCCCTTTAAGATTCGAAGTTAACGCTCACTTTGTGATGCAGTTTGATTATTTCCACAATATGTGTCCTATCCACTCCCAGAGTCTTATTCTAATGAATACTTATTTTCTACACAGTTTCGACCCAACTTATAAAACTTTGAAATTACTACTCAGTCAAAACAGGTACATAATAGTCATTTTCATTTTTGAAGAAATAATGTATATCATAGACGATATATCACTTATACAATTAGATATATGAATGCGAATTGCTCAAGTGCTATATCATTTTTGGTTTGAAAATATTACTGTTTCCAGTGATACAATAAACCTGAGAGCTAAAATTCAAATGATGAATAACTCGAAAATGGAATGTGGAAAACAATGGTTAAATATTTATCACAGTATGGCCGTAAAATCAGCAGAAATTCTGTACTCCATACCACCAGACTCTGTTCAGTTCAAAAGAAATGAAACAATAACTATTAAGGAATTCACACGTTTTCAAGTAAGCTGACTTTTATTTTTCTAATGATAAACACCCCTTCCGGCTAAAATTAATTTAAATGTTTTTGTATACTGGCTGAAAGAAATTATTAGTAAAGTGTTTTGTCGAGATTGTTGAGTTGAGCTTACATCACCAGATGACTCTAACTACAGAGACCATTGAAAACCAAGAAGTACTGAACAGCTTCCTTGTCTAATAACAGAACTGTAAAACTATATGATCCCGTCACAGTACCCTAGGTTCGATATCTGAATGGTTGTGGGTGTGTGCTGATGATTAGCATACTACGGAGAAAAATCTATCAAGTGCTTCTTGGTTTTTAGTAGTTATCCATCTACACTCAGACTGTGACGTAAACTGTAAAACAAATTACGGAAACTGTAATATATCAAATGAGATGGCTGTTTAAACCTAAATGAACGTAAATTGTTAACTGGTTGTCATCCTACTTCAAGTTGTTGGATTTATTTTAATAGTCACTTTTTAGTATGACGAGTTCGCTTAGTGATGGACTTTAAATTATGTGTGATATTCAGGGGTGAAACATATCCAAAACAATTTTATTTATCGCGAATCCTGCTTAACCTAGAGTTGTATCCCCTTTAATTAGGAATGAATATCTTGATGTTTTCGGATCCTCATAGGAACTATTCTAAAACGAGTGTTTTTTATGTATTTGTGTAGGTTCAGTAAAGTCTAATTATGAGTTCGACAGAAACTACAGTTGACATACAACCAAATCAGTGTTTCAAAATTCTTAATACAGAGAATGCTCAATTACTCATGAAAACTTTTTTTCCATATAGATTTCGGCAATTATTTTTAGAAATACTTCGTACTCGCAATTGAAGTTTTGATTTTTCAATTCATTATACATGTACAAAGTATATTCTAAAACAAGTACTCTAATCATAAACACGCAGTTGGTGTTCGGTATTTTACATAAAAGAATTATTAGTATAACATGTAAGTCAACCAAATCAGACAAGTCAAATCATAAATACTTAAAAATGTAAGGATTCGGACAATGGTCTCTTCAGTTAATTAAAAAATACAATTACAAAGCGTCTCACGGAAATTTCTTTTTCAAAATCTCTTTCTTATATTTAACAACCAGAAACTAAATAAAAACAAATCCCCTAAACTTAATTCTACAAATCTCATGTCGATTGTCTTTAAAGAGTATTATATTCACAGAGTAAAAATATTTATTTCATCTTTTTATGAAGCATACAGTTTGAAAATGTCACTGCATACATCTTTTCTTTGTTTAGGCAAATGGTTTCTATTTTGATAACAACATAGATCTCTACTTTAAGCTACAGCTAAATGACAAGATATTCATTCCAAATGGTAAAACAGAAGCAAATCTAACAATAGTTGTTGAACTTATTTGTATTACATATAATCGGGATGGAACTCTATTAAATTCATGCAATAATCCGACATTGAAAAAAATCATGAGGAAAGTTGTGGTTAAAACTAGACAACAAACTATAACGGGTAAGTTTTATTAACACACATGTTTTGTCATAGTTTACTCCATAGACTGGTTTAGTTAAATGACCACTGAAAATCAGGATTTATTGGACAGATGTTTTTGCTTAGTGTGTGACTCCTCAGCAGTCCGCATTTATGGCTCCATCGAGAGTCAGGCCTAAGACCATCGATCCGACAGCATACTCTGGACATCTAAATCAGTGTTTAAACACTAAAATGTATTCTTATATCTTTTCGAACCATTATAAACTGAAAATTGCCCATTACAAAGTTATTTTTTGTAAAAAAAACAATTCAACCTCTAACTGACTTCGTTACTTTTTTTCTCAGCATTATAATGTTAATTCGGTAAATTGTTATTATTACTTCTGTAAAATTATTAAAAGACATCACAGCTTAACTGGATAACCCTATCTGGTTTCACAAATCTGTGATCCTTTAGTTTACTTTAATCTTATCTTCATTCTTATAGGTTCAGATTGTGAAGAAGATTTGGGCCTTTCTAACAGTCAAGTAATTTTACCATGTCAGATCACTTCATATGTGTCACCCTATCTTGGAAATACAGAAGAGCAAATTAGATTCTATTCAGCGTCCGGTTGGAAACCATTTGTTCGTCCAGGACCACATGATCCTTTACGTTATATCACTATTTTATTCGGCCAACAAACAAATGTCAGTCGAATAGATATTAATCTGATAAACACAGCTAATCAAGTTATGATTTTCCACTTGATGGGAACCAACGATGGTCAATCGTTCTTCGATTTTAAGACAGTAAGTACCTGACACTTAGAGTGGCCTGAAATCTCAGGAAAGTTGAAAAAGTAACACACCGATTTAATTCCTACACCATTTTTAAGTTAAAATAAGTACCATTCCAAAATGAAGTCCAAGTTTATTAATTAAGTTTCTTCAACATTACGTTAATCTTTTCATATATTACGTTTGTTAGTAAGCATATCGTATTTCCAAGTCAAATCAATAAACTGATTAAGGTGGTTGTTTCTATAAGGTTAACTTCTCTCATGTCACATATCGCTATTGATAATAACGAATTTTGATTATATTTTGACATTATGAGATTAATACTATACTATGTACTGTTATCCTATCCATAAGATAACTAGTACTTTTCTTTTAAATACACACTGAATATTTCTTTATAATCGATACCAATATGAAATCTTAGCTTATGTAGTTCTATTGATCATGTACAAATTTAACATTAGTCACTAATGTGCAATCTTTTTATACATAGACTCAGGTTTCATGGCAGCACGAAGTGGAAACTAAATTGTATCTTTGAGCTTAAAAAGAAAATACTGATCGCTCCCACTTAATGTGAACCTTTATCATCAACTTATGAAGTTATATATGTTATCACTGAGTTAATCGAACTACAGTTTACTACCAGTAAGACTGAGATCCTGGTTTCATTAAATTGCTTAATATGAAATAAACTGTAGTGTAATGTCAAATCAATTAAACTAGTAAACACATATTAATTTAATTGATAGAATTTAGTCAGTATTAAACAAAAGATAACATGACAATTTCGGAGCACAATTTGTTAACAACTTACAAAATTATATGGGGATACCACACATTATAATGTTATGGAGACACTAACTTGTATCATATCTAACTAATTAGTGAATTTTTTAATCAACACTGTAAGCATTTATTAACAACTAAGATATAACCGAAACTTTATCATAACCATTATTTAACAGGCGTCAGTTTCCTACATAAATCAAAGTTATGGCCGCATATTTCTTCAGCCAAAATTTGTCTCAAGAGGAATGCGATTAATCGTCAGTGAGACAACAAATGAAAATAATGATGTATCTTTTACACTTGAACTTTATGGATGTAGACTTAACTTGGACACAAACAAATTTGGTATTTTAGTTTACCATTTTTATCTTGATGTTATTACTTATCATCATTATTATCTAAAATTACTGCGTAGATAAGGTTAATAAGAATTTTAAAAATAACCAATTTCCAATTGTACAGTAATCTTGTGCATTGCCACGCTAGTATGTCTATGTTTTGCTTTAGTTTATAACCGATATTGTAGGGGAATATTATTATGATATTTAAAATGTAGTTTAAGTTTACTGGAAAATATTATGAAAGCCCACTGAAAAACAGTGCAAAAATTACAGTTGAGACGAATTTCAATATAGTATCTTACCATTCATTTACCATGCCAAAAGCAACAGTATATTTCCTAGTTATTACTACAAAACACCATAATTCACTTCTGTGGTGGAAACAGTAAACCTTAAAATGATATCAAAGATTACGATTTCCTTATTTTGACTTATGAATAGATTTCATTCGCTAAGAAATAGCTAGGAATATTTTTCATCCCGGTACGAGGATTCTCAGAACTGCGCATCAAAGATCACATAGGAGATCCAAGCATGGAGCTCAAGTCTCATGCTCTAGCGCCACTGAGCCAGAATTTTATGGTGTGCATATCTAACCTCAATCAAATATACCAATGATATTAATCCATAATCGGTAGTACAATTCCATTTATCTGTGGTGTATGCTATTTATATCTGTCGACATAAGTAATATGTAACACCAATCAGAAGTGGCAGCAAAACGCTGAGATGATTAAGTTGAATAAAACAGAAATGTAAATGTAGAGTACTTGTGATAAAAACAGGAATGAAGGAACGATGAAGTTTGTAAGAGACAACTGATGAAAGATGTGCAAATGAAGTATTTAATGTATAGTTTTCGTATTTTACAAAGACATTCTATAATTTTGTATTGACTAAAAATCGTTAATCCCCATCCTGAATACTCGTTTACTACATATTAACTAGTAATTGCTATTCATGAATGGACCAGTATTGAAGCCAAAAACCGTAGTGAACGCACATGGTACTATATTTTGCAATCCATATCAGGCTCTGAATAACGTACAAAGGAATCATCATTATATACAATCATCACATATCTCCATGCAGCAAATGACTTAGATCAGATTTATTCATTTACCGATCATAAAAGCTTCCACGATTAATATGGTTTGACTGGATATAATGTATTTGGTAGTTTCTGTGATAATGGCGTTATTTAAAAGAGAACGCTATTAATTTCAGTCTACTTTCGAAACAAGCTTACTTCATTAGTGGTCTGTCTCGTTCGTACAACTTAATACTTTTGTTCGAGATTATGATGTTTTGAATAATCAGCTGTGCGTTACGATTTACTAATGACATTGTAAGGCATATTTGATCTCAATTGAAGGAAATTTTAATAAAAAATTGGTATCTAAGGTGAAATTTACAAACAGGAAGATGATCCATCCAATGTCAGCACTTCAAAGTTATAACAGAAGAAGTAACATCAGATTGTACTTTCCATTCATATAAAGTATTTAGTAGATTTTGTGCAAAAAACAATAACTGTATTCATTTATACAAGCAAAAGTATTGCTTAAAATATGTATTTTCATTTTAACTCATGGTAACCCTCAATCCCTATTATCAGATCCATGTGGTGTCCAAAATGGTTATGTGAGCCCATCAAACAATGGTCTACGAAGTTATCTTTATGCTGATGGTTATCTTTTCTATTGCGATGAATTCCCCACCACAATAAAATCGTACCTTACTGAAAAACGGTGTTTCGTGACATATAACAATGCTGACATGAAGTGGACAGGTTAGTATACTAGCACATTTCAACAACGAATTACTGCGGTACATGAAATACGTAAATTGATTTCTCCTTATTGTATATCACTAGATCAATCAAGAAATAAGGTCAAAAACTTGGAAATTTATACTCTGAACATATCCTGTTTTCCATTCGTACTGTTCAGTTATAAAGTATCAATTTTAATTCTAGATAGGATACGAAAAGTTGGCGTGAGCTAGAAATTTTAATATGTGGAAAATATGACTAGTTAACTCTTACTCAAAGTATCAGATCAGATGTTTTGCTTTAAATATAATACAATGTGCATTTTATGTCAGATTTTGAACGATACCGAAATTCAATCTAGTGATCACATAAAATACAAGAATTTATTTAACAATGATATTTTTTGGATGACCCGTAAAAAATACGGTTTCCATGAAAGCGAAAGTTAGAGTATCCCACTTCATTTTAGTGCGGTAATTTAGTACTAATCCCAATGTCAAAGTTGCTATAACTAATATGTAATCATCAGATGATGTAATACTTTTTCGAATTCCATTGTCCTAATAATCAACACTTATGTACAATCTTCAACATTACATAGTTTCAGATTTTTAGTAAATTTTGTATATTTGATGATAAAAAGAATTTAATTATTGAAATATCCACTGTGAACTAGGTTTCATCTACATGAACAGTTGATATAATTTTTAGTCATTAGAAATACAGGTTTATCGTATCACTACATAGAAATAGAGATTACCAGTCACTTAACATTTTATTTACTTTATCAAGCTATGTTAAACTTTAGCCTTATTCTTTATTAGCGGAAGTGAGAAGGTATCAAATTAATAGGCGATCAAATAAATGATGAACTCAAACTCAACTTGAGGTCTAACTAAGACTATCCTTAGGAAATTTATATTCAACTATCGGGTAGAGAAACCAAAAGATTTTCCAGTCAAAATTTTTAAACAGCAAATAGTCCTCATCATTTCAGAAATTCCACAAATATATTTATTTTAGCTTTAATACATTGCAACTTGAAAAGTAGGATATGAAGTCAAAGGAAATTTTTTACTGATAACAACCTTGGCCCATATATTGTGTTTTGGAAGAGATAAAACTCTAATGATATCAGTCTGGTCATTCCATGTGTCCCCCAAACATTGTAATAGTCAACATGCCAATAAAATTAGTGTCAGTCTACGTGTAGTCATATCACCAAGTTATAATGATGTAAATTGGTGCACCGGTAATAAAAGTGAGAAGTAGGACAAAAAGTCTATAAGATGGCGAAAACACTAACACTTATATCAAATTTTAACATTTTATATCTCATCACAGCCGAAAAGTAATGTTGTTTTATGCATATTGTATATTCGTGTTTGGATTAAAGTATTGCATTCTAACCAACTATCATGTTATGTATGATAACAAAGTGAATGCTAGATACTTAATTCAAAGAATAGTTCGGTCCAGTTACAAACAGAATAACTTTTAGTTACATGTTATAGAATGATATTCTATTCCCAAAACTAACAGAAGAAATCATTATCACTAGAAAAGAAACAAAAATTTCACCTTTTGCAGTGACCTCCATTTCTTGATAGAAATAGTAGTTTTTATCTGTCTAACGGATATTAGATAGGCTACTCATAATATTTCTAACATGTAATACATATTATTATTATATTAATTAACTATTGCGTTTCTTTACTTTTAACGTAATTTCACACTCTTCTTCCGTGCCAACAGACCTAGGGCCATTCATTACAAAAGTCTTGAGTTACATAAGTCCTAGTAATATAATATTTGCTCAAGGTCAAAACGATGATAGTATCTTATTGAGTAGTGATTACGGAGAAAGATGGACCTCCACTAACTTGTATACACAAGTAAAATTGACCAGAAATGCAAGTTATTACATAAATTCAACTATTATACCATGGACTTATGCTGCTGGATATTTTGATCAAAGTATTACTGGTATATCATGTCAGTTATACCAACAAAGTTCATATCAGTGTAAGTTTTATTTACCTCTGAAATAAATTATAGTCTACTACTCTAACATACCGGTTTTGATTGATTAATAAATCTATTTAACATTGAAA